TTGCCATGACAAACTGCTTTGTCATTGCTCATCTCCTTCCATTGTTATATCATTGATTGAATAGATTCATCTGTTGCCTGTTCCTCTGCTTGATCTGACCATTCACCTTTCTGTCATTGATCATTCTTCTCATTGATTGATAGATTGAGTCTATGTCGATCATCTATTGATTACTGACTAACTCACTGACTGACCTGAATGTTAAACTTCTAGGAATTCTCTGATATTCTTTGTGTTCCCTCTCTCCATCCAAGATGTCTACATTGTCAAAATTCAATTCATGTGCACAGTTGTTATCCACGTGGATTGAAATGAGTGATGAAATGTCGTGTGCGACGTTTAATAGCCAATTGATGTTGATGTAGACAAAGGTGAAGGTGGGTGACCACTTTGTCCAATGTAGTGTTGACCAGAGTTATTCCAGTTGATTTTTATAAATGATATTCGATTTGTCTTCTTTGCTTGTTGCTTCCTTTGGTCTGCATAATAGTGTTTGTAGGGAATTAGTTGGTATATGAACCAGATCAATTCCTTCCAAGTGAAGTCAGTAATCTTGTCATGTTCTCTATTATATTCTTTATGTATGGTAGGATGATACGCTTGTTGATTTCTGTCCATAACTTTATTGTTGATGATATATATATATATAATATATATATATATATAAGATAGGCATCTTCTGATAAAGTTTCGTGTGTAGCCGTTCTTCTCGAGGATGGATATCAAGTAATTTTCTTCTTTTCTCTGTGAAGTTGTACTGCGGTGTGTTCTCGCTCTTTTGAGTAGAGTTTGTACGTTGTCGGGTTGTTTCCGCTGTAGTTGAAGATTTGCTGGATGCGTGTTGTCTTCCTGTACACCTGGGTTTCCAGTTCCCTTTCATTTGTTGTACTGATTATAACATCCAGGAATGGCATTTGGTCGTTTGATTCCTTCTCCATTGAGAATTTGATGTCATTAAAAACGTCTTTGACCAAACTATTATCGTTTTCTACATCATCTTTTTCAGTGATAACAAAAGTGTTATCCACATAGCGAATCCAAATTTTTATGTTTGATCAGAGATAGGATGGATAATAAACGACAGAATGCTCAGAGGTCAAACGAAGGAACAGCCAACAAATGAATTTATACAGTCAATGACACAACAATCAAACGAAACAACCAATCGCAGACCACTTCGTCATGGTAAGCCTCTGAATCACTGACGCAGAGATATTGACAGTCCACTTCATATTGAAGTTAGTGGTGCTGATGTCGTCTATAAAGATGATGAAAGCTTCACGATTAAACAACCCAGCTCAGAGAACACAATACAACCAAGAGTCAGATAGAATTTAAGCGCCGGTCCATTTTAGCAGAACAGTCCACGTGATTAGCTGAAATATCCTGGAGAACTATTATTCAGTTGACATGTAAAAATTTATTATCAACTATCATGTTTTTTCCACTCAGTAAATCATTCAGTCGCTCACACCACTATTGCAGAAGGTGTGGAAGGAAGAGAAGGTACCTGACGACTGGAAGAAGGGTTACCTTGTCAAACTGCCGAAGAAAGGAAACCTCAGTGCTTGCAAGAACTGGTGCGGAATCACTCTCCTGTCCACCCACAAGTAAAATATTAGGCCGCATCGTCCCGGAGAGGCTTAAAGATGCACTGGATTCAAAACTGCGACCGGAACAGGCAGGCTTCAGGAAGTACAAATCATGTGCAGACCAAATTGCAACTCTTCGCATCATCATAGAACAGAGTATAGAATGGCAGTCAACTCAACTCTACCTCAACTTCATCGACTTTGAGAAGGCCTTTGACAGCGTCGACCGACAGGCAATCTGGAAACTGCTTCAATACTACGGAGTACCGCAAACCTTTATCAGCCTCATTCAACAACTATATGAAGATGCCACATGCCAAGTAATTCACAATGGGAAGCTCAGTGATGCTTTTGAAGTGAAGTGAAGTGAAGACAGGAGTGAAACAAGGTTGCCTACTATCCACCATGATATTCGTGATTGTGGTCGACTGGACTGGATCATGCAGCAGACAACAGTGGGGAGTGAGAAGAGGGGGATACGCTGGCTGGACTGCGGAAAAGAACCTAGAAGACTTGGATTTCGCCTGTGATGACTTGTGCCTGATGTCACACAAACTTGGAGGTCTACAGGCGAAAACTAACAAGTTGGCAGAAGAGGCAGGGTAGCGAAGACGGGACTTCAGGTGAATATAGAGAAGACAGAGGTGATGAAGATACCGCACCAACAACATCAACAAACTCCAATCACCATCAATGGGAGAAACTTAAAGGAAGTAGCCTCCTCCACCTACCTAGGCAGGGCAGCACTGTTTCAACTACAGGCGAAACAGACGAGGATGTCAAAGTCAGAATCGGAAGAGCAAGACAGGTGTTCATTAACCTGAAACCAGTGTGGAGATCTTCTGCACTCAGCATGCGGAACAGGATCCGGATTTTCAACACCAACCCAGTCAAGTCAGTGCTTCTGTGTGATGGTTCAGAGACTTGGCGCGTCACGAAAGGGATTTCCAATAAACTACACACATTCATCAACAACTGCTTACGCTGGCTCGCTACTGAAGATCAGATGGCCAGAAACAATAAGCAACAAGGAGCTCTGAGAACGAACCAACCAAGAAATTATCACCCAACAAATATGCAGGATGGAAGTGGAGATGGATTGTGCATACACTGAGAAGGCGGACTGGGGACATCACGCGTCAGGCCAGTTGCTCGAGTGGAATCCCCATGGGAAGCGACGAGTTTGACTTCCGGTGAGGGTGACATGGAGGTCGTGCGAGGAGGAAATTAGAGTTTCTGGGCTGTCGTGGGGCCAGGTTCAAAAGATCTCAGAGAACAGAGGTCACTGGAGACGTGCTACCGAAGCCCACTGATGGAACCCAAGGGACTAATAATAATAATAATAATAAATCATTCAGTCAGTTCCTGACGTATCAGTTCACTTTTAATAGCATCCTTTCACTACAATTCATTTCATAACTACACTGGAACGTTTATCTTCAAAATCAACAAGCTAGAATTGGGAATAACTTTATGTAGAATTTGGAAATTATCTTCATTGATTGAACGAAATTGATCGGTCACTATTACCATATGTTAACCTTATGTTGATGCCTCAATATTCCCGGTATTTTCAGGTTTAATATGTATGGAAGATAGCTGCTAGCGTGTTTCATCCCATTTAGAATTTGTCAGCTAGATCACAGTGAGTGGTGTTGTTCCTAGGATCAACAACTTGGAAAGCCAAATCATTATCCACTGAGTCATGATGGCCACTATTTGTACTATAGTTATAGTATAGCTTGTGAAACGCGAATCCTGGATTCCACAGCTAGGCACTATTCATCATTCATATCAAATTTGGAGAAACTTTTGGATGACCAACTTTCAGTAGCATAATCTTGATGGAAAGCTATCAAATTGGTTTCACTGAGACAGTCTGTACTGTTCATAGATATCACCATAAAGCTTTTTTGTCCGTGATATCAGTGTACCTAGTTTCATGACTGTACAATCACATTCGATATATACACATATAAGTTCTTTTTCTACATCTGAAATTTATTTCTCTGTTACTCAGTTTTGCATTGGTTGTATTGTGTTCTGTGAGCTGGGTTGTTTAATCATTTTTCTAGACCTCATCAACAGCAGCACTAACTTTAGTATGAAGTGAGCTGTCAATATCTCTCCATTAATCATACATTAGCTTACCATGACAAACTGCTTTGTCATTACTCATCTCCTTCCATTGTTATATCATTGATTGAATAGATTCATCTGTTGCCTGTTCCTCTGCTTGATCTGACCATTCACCTTTCTGTCATTGATCATTCTTCTCATTGATTGATAGATTGAGTCTATGTCGATCATCTGTTAATTACTGACCGACTTCTAGAAATGTTCTGATATTCTTTGTGCTTCCTCTCTCCATCTAAGATTTCTACATCGTCTAATTCAATTCATATCCATAGTCGCCCTCTTTGCCTTTGGTTGTTAAACATCATACGTGACATTTCATCACTCATTTCAATCCACGTGGATAACAACTGTGCACATGAATTGAATTTTGACAATGTAGACATCTTGGATGGAGAGAGGAAACACAAAGGATATCAGAGAATTCCTAGAAGTTAACATTCAGGTCAGTCAGTAATCAATAGATGATCGACATAGACTCAATCTATCAATCAATGAGAAGAATGATCAATGACAGAAAGGTGAGTGGTCAGATCAAGCAGAGGAACAGCCAACAGATGAATCTATTCAATCAATGATATAACAATGGAAGGAGATGAGCAATGACAAAGCAGTTTGTCATGGTAAGCTAATGTATGATTAATGGAGAGATATTGACAGCTCACTTCACACTGAGGTAAACGTTGACGATGATGTCGTCTAGAAGGACAATGGAATCTCTATGATTAAATAACCTAGCTCAGAGATTTCAATACATCCTATATCATCCATCTGAGCTACAATATTCTCTACAGTTAGTCTTTTGCCTACAACGTTCTCTTGTATAATGTAAATGTGTAACTCAAATCAGGCTAAATGACCAACATCTGGATAAACAATATATTTTATCGATTTATAATATTGTATTTTATTACCAAAGAAATGATTATCTGGTTTAGATAAATATTATATAGTTCAGATATGAAGTACTACAATCAATGTACTCAAAGAACTTCTTTGGTCATACATTCTTTTATGTATTAGAGAAATAGAATAGAGTATAAGAATACCAACAGTGTATGAAATATATATGATCATGTCAACAACAATAACACATCACCGAAATCAAATATTTCAGTATAATTCTTGTCAAATGGTATGCTATTCAATAACTAATAACTATATAATATAACAGATGATATAGAAATATTAGTACAAATGATAAATTGATTATCATTTACAGATTGAGCAATAGAATAGATACAATAACCAATCATAGTATCTCTATAGAAGATGTTACTTAAAATAGTAATTGTAATGCTGACATCTTATCAATTGAAATCATCTAAAATGTATACAAAAGTAGATGAAATGATTACCGTATATAGTAGAAGAATTTAACACAGATATTCTATTCAATGCACACTTAAGTTACTTATAAAGTATGGATTACTAAGAATTCCGAACAAAACAAGGTAAGTAAAAAGATCGTTTAGTATAATTGAATGATAGTGGCTGGCATTGGATTCTGGGATGCATGTTTCGTCCTATTCAAGGCTAACGAACTAGATGTATCTGTCTCTTTGAGTAGTGTTGCCTTCACTTGGATTCGAACTCAGGATCAGTCACTTATTAACCCCAATGGGTCACCGACTTGACCAATGAGTCACCGTATGGTATAGTTCAGCTGTTGTCATAACTTGTGTTTGCCCGTCTTTAATTGGATCTAATAGATAGGTCACTATTGGCTCAGTGTGTCATACTTTAGAAGATGAACTCAATTTTTATTTCATTGCTAAAAACTCTGAAACTGAAAGCAAATAATCATTCCACTTCTACGGCTTCTAAGAAGCCTCTTTTCATCAGCTTACAGTTCAACGGTGACAGCACTAGATATATTGAGAAACTGTTTGGCATGCTCATTGAGAAACTTTTTCTATTCTGTCAACTCAGATTAACGTCCTCTACTTACCTAATGCTTTGATTATGCTTGAATGATAAGCTAGCTGCTGTAGCCATCTCGATGTGTGTTAATTAATTCACCTGCTACTATGGAGTAAGGTATATTGGTCGTACTCAGCGTTCGCCATCGAAATGCATTTCCGAACATATACCAACCTGTATAGTGATGATGGGCAGTGGCTAGCAGTGGAACGCAGGATGTGCATTTCGTCCCATTGTGGACTCATCAGCTGAATGTGCCTACCTCCCAGTGAGTCATGTTGTTCCCACCGGGACTGGAACCCTTGAGCGATCGCTTCAAACGCCAGAGCGTTATCCACTACACCACCGAGCCACGACTGCCACTTCTTGTGCGACGGATATAGGACGAAATGCGCATTCTGGATTCCACTGTTAGTCACTGCCCATCATTACTATACATAGTTAAAAGACAGGCAATATAGAGACATCCCCAAAGGAGCCCATATACCAACACAGACTGATCAATTCGGTCCAGTCAACGACGGTGTAATACAAGCAATAACACTCAATATACCAACTTGGTTCCACACTTCGCAGCTCTGTTGCGGAACAGATGATGGATTATGACTACCCAGGAAATGCAGAGTTTATGTATATCTCACGAAAAGTGAACGCCTAAAACTTTTTCAAACTTCGGAATGCATGACATTTGATATATTGAAGCGTGAACTTTATGTTCAAAAAAAATTTGTCCATTCACTCAAGTTCCAATAGACTTGACCTACAGGAACCTTTTTTACCTTCAAAAATCTTTTCATTCAGATCTTCTCATACATTATTGTCCTCTACTCCTTTCATCTTACTACCTCATATAACTTAATAACCAAATATTACTTCTGTTCTGCTAAATCTCTGCATTGCTTTTACGTAATTCTTCTCCTCGATCTCCTGATTTGTAATCAAATCTGAACTCCCTTCAAAGGCAATTTTTATGCAGTTGTACAGCTTAAGAATGATATCACTGAAAAGATTGACTTTTAATTAAGCGTCTTTTGTTTAAAGACTGACATTAATTGTGCTAGTGATATAATCAAGTGGTAAGCTGCTAACAGTAACCAGGTAAGAATAGTTAAAAAACGGAGAAAGATACGAAATAACTCCACTGAAATAATATGAATCAGTCTAACAGTCTGTACGTTGAATTATATTATTATTTTTATTATTTGTCCCTTGCGTTCCTAGTGGGACATACCGTTTCAGTAGCAGGTCTCCATTCCACTCTCCAATTCTCTGCAATCTCTTCAACTTGCCTCCACGACTGCCCAAAAGCTCCAATTTCTTCTTCACACGATCTCCTCCATCTCACCCTCAGACATCCTCGCTCAACTCGTCGTTTGGATTCCACTCGAGGGACTGACCTGGCACGTAATGTCCCCAGTCCCCCTTATCAGTGTATCCTTAATCCAATCCATCTCCAATTCCTTCCAGTGCATATTTGTTCAGCAATAGCTCCTCGCTCTGTTGGTTCGTCACCAGCCAGCCAAACTTCCTTCTTCCTTATCTTATTATTCTCGCCATCCATCTGATCTTCAGTATCGAGTCAGCGTAGGTGTAGGTAGCAGGTGTTGATGAATGTGTGCAGTTTGTTGGAAGTGCTTCTTGTGACACGCCAAATTTCTCAACCATCACAGAGAAGCACTGACTTGACTGAGAATGGTGTTGAAAAAACGGATGTTGTTCACGCTTTATGCTGAGTGCAGTGCAGATGTTCTCCACACTGATTTCAGGTTAATGAAAGCCTGTCTTGCTGTCTTTCCGATATTGTCTTGCTTTGAAATCCTCGTCTATGCCTGTGCCGCCTGTAGTTGAAACAGTGCTGCCTAGATAGGTAGGTAGGTAGGTGAAAGAGACTACTTCCTTTAGATTTCTCCCGTTGATGGTGATTGGAGCTTGTTGTTGTTGTTGGTGGTGGTGTTGGTTGTGTATCTTCATAACCTCCATCTTTTCTGCTTTCATTTGAAGCGCCGTCTTCGCTGCCCTGCTCCTTCTGTCAACTTGTTAGTTTTCGCCTGTACATCTTCAAGTTTGTGTGATACTAGACACTGGTCATCACTCATGAAATCCAAATCTTCTAGGTTCTTTTCCGTTGTCCGGTGTACCCTCCTCTTCTCGCTCCTCATAGTTTGTTGCATGATCCAGTCCACTTACAATCAGGAATATCATGGATGATAGTAGACAGCCTTGTGTTACTTCTTCCTGTCTTCACTTGAAAAGCATCACTGAGCTTCCCATTGTGAATTACTTCACATTGAATATAAGGTGACAATTAACAAATATTAACGCAAATCGTTAGAGTAAAGAAGGAAGCTGTACGAATTTTCTCTTTGATGCAGGTTCAGTTTAGTAGAATAAAGAAAAACTTATTAAGGATAAGATTGAAATGGCAAAGAATAATCAATTGGTTCTTATGGTTTTAAATATGTCATTACTCCGTTGTTTTACTCGATCGAATTGTCCAACTTCTATTGGTATATACGCTCCTATGCGGATACCTTGATATTGCCTGAATATTAATCATAGTAGGTGACTTGGTTGTGGCTAGCAGAGGAATCTCGGATGCTCGTTTTGTCTTATTTGGAACTTTCAACTGGATGACCCTGCAACCTAGTGAGTAATGTTATTTCCACTGAGACTTGAACCTCCTATCCCTCACTTGAAACACCGAGGCGTTATCTAGTAGGCCATGCAGGCTAGTTTTAAATGTGATCTATGTATTCAGTACTGATCAGATGTGTTATAATACACTTACTTGTTGATTTATCTTGTCTACCTTTTGTTGAAATGTGACGAGAAATTATTAGAAATTTCACAGCGAACATTTTAAACGATAAGTCTAGAGTAACTGGTACCATAGGAGAAGCTGAACTGTTGAATACACATGAAGAAGGCAAAATTAGGCTATTGTTTGCCCACAAAGAAATAGCACTGGATGAAACTTTTCCACTCTTTTGTATTTTCTAGACTGGAAAATAACATAACTTACCCAAAGATATTGACAGCTTTTTGTTAAAAACGGTTTTCTAAAAGACGATTTCAACTGTAAACTAGTTTCGGTGTCCCTGTCATCTCCCATTACATTTAAAAATTTTGATTTCAGTAAAACCTCTTCATTTTTTGTGATTAATGTATAACAGTAAATGACTGTTCGAGAGATAAACTGCACCTTCGTGATTTTTGGACATTTTGCGCTGACAGTATTATTTTTAGCCACCTGATGGTGATGAAATGAGATGCTTGACTTCTCAGCAATGTGTGAAGCACTACCACCTTTCCTAGATACCGGATATCCACCAACTCCTCGACTGACTCGAAATACCTGAGGAAGAACTGATGTCTCCATTCTCGATTACTGCAGTTTGTGGGAACTTTATCATATCCACAAGCAGTGATACCAATTGTAAGACAATCGTAAAAGCTGGAAAGCAGAAGGATGTTTATATAGGCACTTATAGCCTTTTCATTCAAAATATTCATTTACACCAAATGTTTCATTCCATCTTCTTCTTATTCTATCTTACCTTGTTCTTAATACGCTCATGTCAGCTTTTGCGCTTCCATATGAAGTATATTTACCCATCGTTAGTAATTGCCTACGATATCTTTCGACCTGTCAACACATACTACTTATATGCATTCTTATAAATAGCAGTCTGTTCATACCACTTTGCATCCCAAACAAACACATTCATTTTACAGACCTGATTTTAACTCTTCTTTCATGAGATTGATGAACAACTAGAATTCAGCTGCGACTTTTGAAACATATATATCTGTGTGTTCGGGGTATTAGGATAGAACAAATGAGATAATAGAAGGTATATTTTATGCTCATAACTCAGTAGCCAAGTAAATCAGGAACTACTTACGATAAATAAACTGAAAACTGACTCATAATTCAATAGGGGAAAATTATGAATATAAAGCTTACAAAGAACAAGGAAGTGAATAGCTCTTTTTATCCTCAAACTTCTTACATATAACCTCTACATTTACAGATCAATTACTCATTCATTCTATTGTGCGTGGAATGTTGGTTTTATTGAGATTCTGTTATCATTACAATTTACCTGGTTGGAGTAGGTGTTTCAGTCAGTTTGACTATTTATGATCAGTCTTGTAAATCTACAATTCTTCTGTTAATACGATGAAGTGTTTTGTCTAATCTATTGGAATTTTCTATCGGTTCTTAAGAATAGTAACTTCACAAAGGCTTCTATGATACCTGTTGCATTTCCACATATCTTCATTATAATCACTATAATCCATATCATTAAATGATCTCTGAAACTGATTCTTACTATCTGGATCGCCAGATCTCTTCATTTCCAGAGAAAAGGGAAATATCAAAATTAATGTTTATAAGAAGATATCAAGGTGAGTATAAAAATGGCTACACGATTGGTTGTGGAATGCTTCAGAAATTTAGGTTCTCTCATATGCATCTGGGTAATCTTATCACACACTGTAATAATCATTGTATGCTTAAATATTATGAATAACATTGTTATGGTTATTTATTTTTCCATCGGGTTCCTAGTGAAACATAGGGATTCAGTAGTACGTCTCCATCCCACTCTGTTCTCTGAAATCTTTCGGAACCTGGCGTCACGACTGCCCACAACCTCTCATTTCCTCCTCGCACGATCTCCTCCATCTCACCCTCAGACATCCTCGCTCAACTCGTCGTTTGGATTCCACTCGAGGGACTGACCTGGCACGGGATGTCCCCAGTCCCCTTCTCAGTGTATCCTTAATCCAATCCACCTCCACTTCCTTCCAGTGCATATTTATTGAGCAGTAGCTTCTCGCTTTGTTGGTTCGTCACCAGCCAGCCAAACTTCCTTCTTCCTTATCCTTATTATTCTCACCATCCATCTGATCTTCAGTATCGAGTCAGCGTAGGCAGCAGTTATTGATGAATGTGTGTAGTTCGTTGGAAGTGTTTTTTGTGACACGCCAAATTTCTCAACCATCAAAGGGAAGCACTGACTTGACTGAGAATAGTGTTGAAAATCCGGATCCTGTTCCACATACTGATTGCAGAAGATCTCCATACTGGGTTCAGGTTGATGAACACCTGTCTTGCTGTCTTTCCGAGCCTGTCTGGCTTTGACATCCTCGTCTGTGCCTGTGCCGCCTGTAGTTGAAACAGTGCTGCCCTGCCTAGGTAGGTGGAGGAGGCTACTTCCTTTAAGTTTCTCCCGTTGATGGTGATTGGAGCTTGTTGTTGTTGTTGTTGTTGGTTGGGTATCATCATCACCTCTGTCTTATCTACGCTCACTTGAAGTCCCGTCTTCGCTGCGTCTTCTGTCAAGGTAAAAAGAATCAGATAAACAAATGTTCAAGGGTAGATGAAGTTTCAAAGAAACAGTTGGAGAAAGCACAATATAATCATGAAATGGGATAGATACCCACATCTTTGAATATTGAAATCATGAATAAAATATGATGATGACAGCAATGAAAAATTAAACTGTGGATCAGGCAACATTATAAAAGGAAATTATCCTACTACCTAATAATAGTGAGTAGCATGCAAAAAATATAAGGAACACCAAATAGGTGGTAACCAAAAAAGAAGAAATCTTAGATTTCAAACACTGTTTATATAACTGTTTTGTTTATGCTGTCTCTGCAAATTTCAGAAGACTTCTACACACCTCAGATATTCAAATATATGAAACCAAGGTTTTCTCTCAAGAATACTATGAAAAAGAAGTTACCAACTTGATGAAATATAATGAATCGTATTGAAATCATTCAATGGCTGACTATTGTATGCTTGAAACTGAAAAAAAGATGAACAATTAGAAGACTAGTAAACATTTTAATGAATGGAATATAGAAGGTACAAATAACGACTAATCTTTTAAAATCTATACAGATAAATGAAATGATAGTTAGCTTCACTTGTTCACTAAAACACGGTAACAATAAAAGTTTTTTTCACAATATAACTTCATTACTCCTTGTAAAAGTTCATATTGTATACATTTATCGATTTTATGTTGACCTTATTATATATTTCTTTATATGTCTCAATATTAAATAATTGATAGTAAGCCTGTTGACTTGGAATTTTTCTATGGAGCTAATAAACAGTCATATTCAGTTCATGATAGATAATGGCTAGCAGTGGAATCCAGGATGCGCATTTCCTCCTATTTGGGACTTGTCAGCACATGAAGTGGTTATCGTGGCTCGGTGGTGTAGTGGAAAACGCGCTGGCTTTTGAAGTTATCGCTCCCGAATCCGAATCCCGGTGGAAACAACAGTGGGAAGCAGGTACATCCAGCTGATGAGTGAGTCTCAAATAGGACAAAATGCGCATCCTAGATTCCACTGCTAGCCACGATCCATCATTAATATATAATTAAAACACAGGCAATATCGAGGCATCCGCACAGTAGCCCATATGCTGAAAGAGACCGATCAATTCGGTCCAATCAACGACGGTATCATATAAAAACCCTTTTACTAAAGTCATATTCATTGCTTTCTATTATCTGATAACAGTCAATCAGCAAGTTATACAGAATTTCGACAACATTTGATTAAATTAAACTAAGTTTTTGAGGGGGTTGTAGAGATTTGGAATTATTTCAAGTTGTTATTCATCGTAGACTGACATCAGTTGGAGGAACAAAGGAAACCTGGGAGCACTGGACAGCTGTTTCGTCCTAGTATGGGACTCCTCAGCAGTGCGCACCCACGACCCTACCAGCAGGGATCGAACCCACGACCTCAGGTTCCACGACCAGCGCGTTACCATTGAGCCACTGGGCCAGAACCCAATGCTCCATATTTCCAACTTCTGTTAGCTCACGATATAGCGCAAACCGCCACCCAGTGTCATCGTTGAGTATTTGTCCTCACGGCCATCAGGCTTTGACTCCACCGGTCACGACTTGTCATTGGAACTTCGGGAATACTTCTCGAAGCTAGTCACCAACGAACACCAGTTCAATTAAGTTTTTGAGGGGGTTGTGGAGATTTGAAATTATTTCAAGTTGTTATTCATCGTAGACTGACATCAGTTGGAGGAACAAAGGAAACCTGGGAGCACTGGACAGCTGTTTCGTCCTAGTATGGGACTCCTCAGCAGTGCGCACCCACGACCCTACCAGCAGGGATCGAACCCACGACCTTCAGGTTCCACGACCAGCGCGTTACCATTGAGCCACTGGGTCAGAACCCAATGCTCCATATTTCCAACTTCTGTTAGCTCACGATATAGCGCAAACCGCCACCCAGTGTCATCGTTGAGTATTTGTCCTCACGGCCATCAGGCTTTGACTCCACCGGTCACGACTTGTCATTGGAACTTCGGGAATACTTCTCGAAGCTAGTCACCAACGAACACCAGTTCAATTAAGTTTTTGAGGGGGTTGTGGAGATTTGGAAATATTTCAAGTTGTTATTCATCGTAGACTGACATCAGTTGGAGGAACAAAGGAAACCTGGGAGCACTGGACAGCTGTTTCGTCCTAGTTTCCAGGTTTCCTTTGTTCCTCCAACCGATATCAGTCTTCGATGAATAACAACTTGAAATAAATTAAACTAACTAAATAAACCTCTAGCTCACTTTCGGATGTTTAAGGTGTTTTAAGTTTTGTTTTAACGAGGATGCATCCGATCGAGCTTTGACGCCATTTTAGAGCTTTCTTATGCTGGTTAGCACACACGTACTCAGAGTCTTTAGTTCAGCCATGCTAGCCAGATAAGTTGAATAAAATTCTCCCCTATTCATTACTATTACATTAATTCTAAATAAATATATTACTTACTCAAGCCAGTTCTTTTGATTTATGTTTCGTTATCCGTACTTACACGTTAGGTAATGTACTGGTTAAGCAGTACTAGAGAACATCAAGTTAAGTAGGGTTGGTCAAAAGTTATGGAATAGTAACACAACCAGCACCACACCCTACGAAGTTATTGTACAGATTAGAGTCAGATACACGCAATATCCTGCTAAAATAAACAATATATCAACGAAAAATGTTTTCACAAACTGTCACTGGGACTTATCGATCCGCTCAGTTTGATGCATCAGGTGTCATTCACTAGGCTTTGGCGTTTGAATTGACGTGTACTGGTTTCCAGTCTCAGAGGCAGCATCATCACTGACTGGAGTGCAGTTAAATGCAGGTGACGAGCGCCAAATAGGGGGAAACTCGTATCCTGGATTCCACCAGTAACTAACAAGTAAACTACAAGATAAGAATAGTAATAGTGTACTTCTTGAGTCTTCGGCCCACTTTTTTCTCTTCCTCCTTTCCCTTCTAGATTTCTGTGGCCACCACCAAACTAACACTGCTCTACGCACCCCCTTGCAATAACGCACCTACCTGCCTACCTACCTACAGGCTAGACAAAAAGCTATCAACAGCCAGTCGTTACAATAGGAATTAAACAGTCTTCCAAGTATGAGAAAAGATATTATTCAATGGCTTTAAAAGTTTAATCCGTTAGGCAACTATAGGCTGTAAAGGATCCGCGAAGGGAGAGAATGCATTCAATTCATGTATACAGGATGTCCAGTCCCGTTGCTGGTAATTCGATTAACAACGACGCGTATTGAAAAGACCGAAACACGAATGTTTGCGGACGATGTATTTCAAGCACACCTTGATCAGTAAACAGAAAACCAAAAGAAACGCGAAGTGTACAAGGCTTGAAGAAAGTGTGTGGAAATTTTTCAGGCATTATTGATGCAGACAAACATCTCAGAGTTGTACAATGTCTAAAAATTGAATGATATGTTCCAGGGAACAAACTGAGGTTACTACAAAAGTCTGCGGTTTATACAGGGTTGCAAAATGTCTCCTGCAAAAGTATACTACAGTATAAATTCAATGGTAAATCATATTTAGGAGATGTAGACCAGTAATTAGCAACCATGTTAAAGTTGTCCAGTTATGCAAAAGTTGGAAATTTTCTAAAAATGTAATTATAAAAATAACCCACCTTCATTTATCGTTTGTAAATTTCATTTGTAAAGAAGGTTGAGTGATACCTTGAAGAGATAATTTTGGGTTTAGTTAACATTTACCAGTCCTCAAATTACTCAAATTTCTGGACGGTTATAATGGCAGTGAAAATCTGGACAAACAGTACAATCCAGAAGATCAACTCACCTATTAACCTTAAAGTGAGTACATTCGCAACAATGCTATACTACAACAGACTTCTCTAGTACTTCATCAAACAATGAATATACCTCCTTCATAATGCTGCATACCATAATGTGAGCAGTACTGAAAACGCATTACCATTGGTCTACAGTTCTTTAAATGTTTATTCCTTTGCACCACAATATCTAATTCTGATGGAGTAAATCTATATTGCTGTAAAGGGTAACAGCTGAATAGATATTCACTTGGATTACATGATTACATGGAAGCTTACAGATTCCCAAAATCGTCAATATGGGTTCTTTTGGTCTCTGAAGCTATAAATATAAGAATTTATGGTAAAAATAGACGTTTATCTAGCGTAACGGGGCATCGAGAAGACGAATCAACCATGTTGACTGCTTGTAATGGAAATGCGGAATTTCGCTCGACCTTAGTACCACCACTGGTGAAAAAAGAAAGTATGACTGAAAACTATCTAAACTTTAATAATCTGTATATGCTGAAAAGTGATATTTTCTTGTTCATTTCATAAGATTCAGGTTTATTGTTTGAGGATAGGAGGCTGGGAGCCTATGTTAATCCTAATCCAGTAGACTTCTATGCTTGTCAATCCCCTTTCGAACGAGTCAACTGATGATGCGGACACCACTTCTTCTGGGAGTCAGTTCCAGGCGTTGATTATTCGACGCGAGAACCAGTACTCTGTGGAAACTATGCTCGTTCTCTGCTTTCGCAGTCTCCTACTATGTTCTCTAAGATGTTCCGACCTATTGGGAAGAAAAAGAGAAGATAGATCAAGTCTGGCGTCATTTCTTAGAATCTTGTATAGCATGATTAGGTCTCCCTTCTGTCTGCGATTGTATAAAGTGAAGAGATTCAGTTTCTTAAGTTGATCTTCATAGATGAGGCCAGCCATCGCGGGGATCATAAGAGTGGTTGACCTCTGAACTCTTTCTAGAAGGTCTGCGTCATTTTTCAGACAAGGATAAGCCGTCTGTGTACAGTCTTCTAACTTAGATCAAACTAAGGATGTGTATAAGATGGTGAACATGTCACCACTTATTTTCGTAAACGTTCTACGTAATGTCCGGAGAGTCCTAAAACTCCGAGGTGCTACCAATCGACAGTGTGCTGTGGTTTTCAAATCATAACTCACTATCACTCCTAGGTCATTGTGGGTCAGTATTTACGGTAAAGGAATCCCATCAATGTCATAGGTGTTGGTGTGTATGTGTGCCCCAAGTGCATGCTCACACATATACATGCATTGATAGGCATCAGCCACTTTTCTAACCGGGTAAACAAGCTATTCAGGTCTGCCTAAAGCGCATGTATATCCCCATCGTTCCTAATTCCCCTCCAGATTTTTACATCATCAGAGTAGATAACCATAAGAGGTTGGATGATATTTGGCAGCTCATTTACGTATAGGAGAAACAGCAGGGGGATCAGAAATATTCTGATGTCTTTAATCGAATTTAATGACCTCCCTTCGGTACCGTTCAGGTCCTGTAAAATCTTGTACATTTTTCAATATATATCAATGTGATGATGCCTGTAAACTGGCTTCTGTCATGTTAAATTACTAATATGAGAATAAAATATTTATTTATT